GTCGCATAGAGGGGGAGTATCACCTTTCTGGATCGGCTTGAGATGCACCTTTGGATGCATGACAAGGTATGGCTGGCCTTGCTGGCTGCGGTCTGGCATTGGCGGCTCTTGTTCATCCTGGAGTCAATAATGACTCCAAGATCCCTTTCTGCCTCTGTGCTTTCAAGAGGGGAACTCCAGCCTCTACGTATGCTGTGAATTCCTTCTCCCAAGGTGCAGCACCCTGCATTTGTCTATGTTGAACCCCATCCTATTCTCGTCTGCCCACTTCTGTAGTCTGTCTAAATCTAGTTGCAGCTTCTCTCTCCCTTCAAGTGTGCCCACCTTGCCCCACATTTTAGTGTCATCAGCAAACTTGGACAGCGTGCTTTCCACCCCCTCGTCCAAGTCGCTGATGAAGATGTTAAACAGTGCGGGCCCAAGGACTGAGCCCTGGGGGACCCCACTGCTCACATCTCAACAGGTTGAGTACGACCCATCCACCCCTACTCTCTGGATGCACCCCATCAGCCAGTTTTTTACCCATCCAACTGTGTAGGCATCAGTGCCACAGTCGCTTAATTTATTAATGAGAATGGGGTAAGAGACAGTGTCAAAGGCCTTCTTAAAGTCTAGAAAGACTACATCCACAGCAACACCATCATTCAAGGGTTTAGTTACTTGGTCATAAAAGGCAATCAGGTTGGTCAGGCAGGACCTGCCTTTGATGAACCCATGCCGATTGCCGCTGAGCATGATCTCCCCTGCAAGCCCCCCACAGATGTGCTCCTTGATGATTTTCTCCAAGATCTTCCCGAGCACCAAGGTGAGGCTTACAGGTCTATAGTTACTTGGGTCCTCCTTCCTCCCTTTCTTAAAAATGGGGACCACATCAGCTAGTTTCCAATCCCCCGGCACCTGGCCAGATGACCACGAATGCTCGTACAGCTGGGCCAAGGGCTCTGTGATTACCCCTGCCAGCTCCCTCAACACCTTTGGGTGGAGGGCATCTGGACCTGCAGATTTAAAAATGTCCAGCCCTTTCAGAAGATCCTTAACTACCTCTGCACTGGCCCAAGGCCTGTCAGAGCTATCCCCAAGATTGTCCCTACCTCTGGCAGCAGGGATGTCCCGGTCCTTGTTCAAGAAAACAGAGGCAAAGAAACTATTTAAAATATTGGCTCTCTCATATGGCATAGCCACAAGGTTACTATTTGAGTCTTGCAGGGGCCCTACATTGCCTGGTGCCCTCTTCTTGCTCCCAATGTACTTGAAAAAGGACTTTTTGTTGTCCTTAATCCTGGACGCTAGCCTGAGTTCCATCTCTACCTTGGCCTTCCTAATAGCCCTCCTACACTCACGGGCCAAGGAGGAGTATTCCTCCTTGGTGATACTCCCTTCCACTGGTTGTACACCTCCCTTTTAGTCCTTAGGCATTCCTGTATGCCCTTGCTGAGCCATGGGGGTTTCTGAGCACTCTTACCCACCTTGCTTCTCTCAGGGACTGTTACCCTTTGGGCCTGGCGGATCGCCCCCTTAAGGTACGACCATCCCTCATGGACTCCCATCTCTTCTACCTTCTGGGCCCTCGGTGCCTCCCCCACTAATCTCTGAAGCTCATTGAAGTTGGCCCTTCTGAAGTCAAGGGCTTTAGTCTTGCTATAAATCTTGCCATGACGTAGTGCAGCAGGGAGTGGAGGAGCCTCCAGAGAACCTCCTTGCCACTTCTCACCTCCCCGCTGCTCTGGTGATGTGCCTTCTGGACACAGGGCTGCAGAGACCATAGGCAAACATCTCAACCATAGCCAGTCCAGCTGGGCTGACTTCCCATCCCCAGCACAAGATTTGGCTGGCACTGGCAGGCAGCCCAGCTGGGCTGCTTTCCATTCCCCTGCGCTACAATCGCACCAGGGGTGGGAGGCAGCCCAGCTCTCCTGCTTCCTGGTCCCCCGCACTACATCTTGTCAGGGGTGGAAGGCAGCCCAGCTGAGCTGCTTTCCATTCCCGTGTGCTACATTGCACCAGGTGCAGGAGGCATGATGTAGCACAGGGGATGGGAAAGCAGCCCAACTGGGCTGTCTTCCGCCCCTGGCATGATATAGGACTGAGGATGGGAAGTCAGCCCAGCTGGGCTGACTTCCTATCCCCAGTGAAACTCAAAACAGTGTTGAAACAGCCTTTCTGTTTCAACAGAATGGAACAGAATGTAACAGCTGTTTCGGCTCGAAATGAAATTCAATACAAAACACTGTTCCATTGAACCATCAAAACTCAAGGTGAAATGGGACAGTGCTGTTTTGCACAGCTCTAATTTGTCATGGTAGCCTTTAGGGTTGTGTGAAATTTTGCCAGCTGTTTTGTGTTGACACTGTTTCAATTCATTTTGAGCTGGAAACAGTGAAATCAAAATGAAACAAAGGGCTTCAAAACAGCCTCAAAACAAAACAAGGGCAGTTGAAACGTTCCGAAAGTTTTGAAATGTTTCGAGTTTCGAAGCAGCCAGCCAGGTAGTGGGAGACAGGAGGACAAGGGTTGCAATGGGGCTGGGGAAGGGAACTCAGCCCGGCTCAGTTCCCCTCCCCAGCGCTGCCCCTCCCCACGCTATGGCCTCCGAGAGCACACTTACTTGTCTATACACTAATACCAGAAGCATGGG